GATTGTTAAAATTTTCGATTGTCGGTAGTCGGCTAAGTTCACACTCATGATAAAAAAATGTTTTTTTTTTTTGCTAAGTTTTTAAAAATCTAATTGATCTGAAAGGACTGTGAAGCACAAAACAAATTAATTGACATGGAAATTAAGTTCCGTAGATTTCAACTAAAATACCGTAGTCCGTAGACGAGAAAAAATTCCGTATATCTCCGGAAAAATCCGTAGAGTTGGCAACGCTGATGGATTGGTTCATGTTTGCATAACTAGTGTACATATCTGTTCCTACGCTGTTTGGCTTTAGTCGCCCACCATAACGCAGCCTTAGTCGGCGTAGTCGGCGTCAATGTTTCTCAATCTTTAAGGGAATACTCTCTTAAATAATATACATTTTTTTCAATTGTGACGATGTCATAAATAAATATCTTTATTTTCTTAAAAATTTTTTTTATTGGTAAATGACGGAATTACACAATTCTTAGGTTAATAACTAAGTCATAATTAGAAATATTAATACTTTAAATGTAAGTAAGAGAATTACTACCTCATATTATCATCCCCTAATTATCATAAGAAGCGACAAGGGAAAATGAAATTGGAAATGGGCAGCAGCATCTTCGAAAGCGTTGGCAACCGTAATTTTTTATTTTTAGTCGTTATTAAGAAAACGCTGCTGCCCATCTCCTGAGTTGTTTTCCCCTATCGCCTCTAATAATAATGTACAATTGTCTACTAACAGCCTGCACGTTCCACTGCTAGGAATATACCTCCTCTCATTGTTGAAAGAGTTATGGAGAGGTCAATCAGCTACGCTGCTTCAGTGCGTGTTGGCGTACTGCACTTGTCCTCGAAATATTTTACACATGCATATTTCATCATGATATTTTCCTTCACCGCAGAGCACCTGGTTTATAATATGGATAATATTATATCGTTCCAAGGTTTGAGAAACAATCGTTTAGTAACCGAACGGATATGATGATTCATATTTTTCGTAGTCAATGATTTGTTTTGTTCGGAGTTGTGTATCGTTTTTAGTTGAATGAGATCTAGTGTTTGTGCATGTTGTGTGGTTGATTATTTGTTTGTGCCGAGGCAACAAAACTGTACGATTTACCACGAAATTATTTGTGTTCCAAACAAAATCATATGTGTATCACGAAATAGTATGTATTCTTCAGCCATATTCAGTTGTTTGCATAGATTTTAAAAACACGTCACTTGCAAAAGTCGAATTTCTGTGTTCTGTGATCTGATTGGCTTTGCTGCATTTGGCAACAGACTGGCTCCGTCCCTAAAGTAATCCATTGGAAGGATTATGTTGCTTTGTTATTGAATGTCGCTAAATTTTCTTGAATTGCAGTGTTTCTTTTATTATACAGCAGTATTTCATTTATATAATTTTACGTACTTTTACACCCATCAAAATTATTTTTCTTTGTTAAATATTAAGTAAGTACTTACTTTCTTTCTTCACTTCGACTTTATTTTCCTTTAACTTGTTTACGTTTTTTATCATCAGTATTTTTGTATCTGGATTACATTCAATTAAAATATTGCATAATTGTTTGTTGGATATGGAACTAGCATGTTAAATATAAACTTCGCGGAATAAACTTAAAGTTACGAGAGTTTATACGTCTAAGCGCTTAAACGCTATTTTGGATATATAAAATAGGTAAAAGAAATATTTTGCAGGATAATATTTTGATAGAGGTACTACCCGTGCGGTTAAAGAATGGGATTGAAAATGGCGTCGCCGCTATTCACATCTTGCTCGCACACTGTCGCTTTAACTATATTTATATGTATATACGTTCTATAACTTCAGTTCAACTTGTTCATTAAAGTCAATGTTAACAAAATGCTGCGAAACTACAAGAAAAATTCAGTCTGGTTTCTCTAATATTATGTGAGCTACTACGCGTTCTGAGAGTTTTTTTTTTTTTCCTTTTTAATGTTTATTTTGTTTTTTACATAAAAAAAAATATAAAGTTTTTACATTATAAAAAATTTCGTTTGTCTGTCTGTCCGAGATAATCTTCGGAATGGCTGAACCGATTGTAATAAAATTTCACGAACAAGTAGAGAGTAATAACAGGATGAAAAATTTTGAGACTATTAAAATAGAAATATTGACATAAGATGAAATAAATGGTCTTTCATTATTATCTTAAGTCTAAATAATGCCACATTAATAGATCCCTCTAAGGCGAAGCCAGAGCAGGTCGCTAGTTATGTTCTTTTAAAATTATCGTACCTACTTGTATCTACAATTTTTTTAAAAATATTTTTCCATTAATAGAAAATTTCCAATCAACCGAATAATATAGCGTTATAACGATATGCCGTTATTAGCGGGTTTTAAGTATTGGTACTGTGCATGTCGACGGTACGGGCTCGATGAGCCGTCATTTATAATGACATTCTTTATCCGTACGGACTGAAGTAGTACCTACTTCTTTTCTGCCTACGCAGTCATGGTAGGCCCGCTTACCTATTTCTGCCGCCGAAAACATTACTTGCACTGCTGTGACCCAATCTGAAGCGTATAGGGAGCCAGTATAATTACAGAGTGCAGGAACTTACCATCAGCTGATCTCTTAAGTTCGTTTGTCACTTCAGTAAAATATAAAAATGTACAACGTAAATCAAAATCTCTACTTACGTTCAGAAAAATACCTGGGTCAGTGGCTTAGCAGTAGCAGAGGTTGCTGCCGCTCGACCTCGAGGCACTGACTCTAGCGGCCTCTGCTTCCTTCCCTACCTACCCTTAAAAATATAAAATCAGTTAGAACCTTTCAGTCTTTGTATATTACTTGAAAATAAATACAAAAATGTAATGTATTTTGTAAGGTAAGACAACCTTTTGTAAGGTTGTCTTAGTCCTCAGGAGTTACAACGCATTTGCATTTTTATTTTTAATCAAGGATAGATGTAGATGATACATGTAAGCCATGGGCTGCTGCATCCACTTATCGAGTGCACTGTGTGCTCGCTTGTCACCCTTATTCTATATAAAAAAAAGTATGTGTGCTGATTATGTCTTCTTTCAGAGTGAATAAGGCTGCTATGTTCGTTATATTTTAATCAAAATAAATCAGTAAGAGCTGTTTTTCAAATTATTTGATTTTTAAGCACTAAGCATTTAACTGACTTTCTATCCCAAAATGCCACCCATCATAATGCCGCCCGGGGCCATCCTCTTAATATTTACTACGTCACGGGTGTGATTTGTGGAGCCACAGACGCCTGTTTCAAGGATGAGTTTATACTCAACCGCGGAAAAACCACGCTCGCAAAGAATACGTAGGACACTCAATAAGTTTTAAGATATACAAAAAGTATTCTATACACTATTAATATTTATTCTACACAATCTTTTCAAAATATTCTCCATCATACTCTATACAAAGTTCCACTCGCCTAAACCAACTCTGAAAACACTTTTGTCAGTCTTGATCTGACAGGTCGGAAATCGCTTTTTCGTAGGCAGCCACGACTTGTTCGGCGCTTGAAAAAAAACTTGCCTTTTATTTTTTCTATGACTCTTGGGAATAAAAAGAAATCACAAGGAGCTAAGTCAGGGCTGTAGGATGGGTGACTTAGAGTTTCAACACCAGATTCCTCAATAAATGCTTTTGTTCTAAGGGAGGTATGTGAAGAGGCGTTATCGTGATGCAGCATGATTCCCCGAAACCCGGTCTTTAGTCTTCTCTCCCGCACAGCTTGAAAAGCTTTGGGTAATGAAACTGTAGTATACCATTCAGAGTTGACTAACCTACAATTTTCCAGCAATGACGTCGACAAATGTCCTCTCCACGAAAAAAAACTAGCCACCATTTTTTTCCGACGTTGCGAGGTTTTTGCAGTTTTGTCGGTAACTGTCCTTCTGAGTGGACCCATACCGAAGATTGCTTTTTATTTTCCGGATCATATTGATAGATCCATAGCTCGTCACTAGTAACGATTTCTGAAACACTCCTAGATGCCCCGTTTTCAAAATGTAGACGCATATCATGGCACAAATCCACACGAGACTGTTTTGCGCTTTCGAAGAGCAAACCATCGACAACAAAGCTTCCTCACTCCAAGATGTTGATGTATGATGGTATGAATGCTCACCGAACTTACAATCTTTTCGTTGGCCGTATATGTGCTTCGTGGGTCTTCTCGCACCAACATTTCAGTAGTCCATACATTTTCTGCCGTTACTGCTGTTTGCGGGGCCCCGGTTCTTTGGTCGTCTTTAAGATTAATTTTACCCCTTTTGAATTTAGCAAAACACCTAAAAATTGTTGCGCGTGATGGAGCCGAGTCCCCTAATGCTGACTGTAACCGTTGTAAACTTAATTGTTCGGTTAAACCAAATTTAAAATCATAATACTTATAACATAGCGCGCAAATGTTCATCCATCGTTTTAAATAAAAAGCGCAGGAAGCGTTGCAGGAAAATTAATAGATTTTTTTTTAATATTGAGCAATTGGCTAATGGAGTTTTATTTTTAAATAAATTTGCTATTTAGAAACATATAACACGGGTGCGTTCCATTTTTTTTTTAATTTCGAGCATCTCAAAACCTATTGAGTGACCTACGTATCAGTAATAGCCGCATACTCGTAATACTGCTGTTTTTCAGGTTTTGTGACGAGAACCTTTTTAATAGTAACGAGGCATTCAATCTTAGTTCTCAGTGATGACAGGGCATCTGCATTTTGATTGTTCATCGCGAATAATATGGGTGTCTATTGGAAAAAGTATAATACTGAGTTATATATATTCACTTATACATATATTCACAACACAAATAGTTTCATTTGTCTTACTGTACATCATATACTTATTTCTATTTATTTAAATTATTAACTTTTACATTGATTTTAATGAGTATTTTGCGTTAGCTCACTAAACTAAGGCAAAATACTGTTTAGAGACGTTAGGAAATGAATTTTAAAATTGTTTTTAATTTATTTTCATGTCGTATAAAAATAATGTGCTATTCCAGGCACAGATTTGGAACAGTACTTGCCAAAGAATTTCGGTCTTCCAGAGAACAGCCCGTTCCTCGAGAAAAGTCCGCCGAACACTGCCAAGGTGACAGCGAAACCTAAGACGCAGTCTGTCCGGAGCACTATAACGAAGGTAAATCTAAATTTTTTAATAAGATTGTAAACAAGACATGAACAAGAGCAAGCATGTGGAAATGATATACTTATTGGATTCACTACGCTCAGCAAGCGTATTGTCAATCACCAGACTGGATATTTTGAATCTAATATAGGTAGTTGTAATTTATATTTTCCACCTATCGTAATATGTCCATATAAGTTGACAAACTGACGTAAAATAAATTGTGTTTCGTATTAATAGTTTCATAGTAATATTGTATTTAAAAGGATCAAGGAAAAGTGTTCATAGAGCCGTATCGAAAACATTTTTAATACCTTTTTCAGGGTCCGTTTTAGGGGCAAAATAATGCATTGAAAGTGCTCTTTTCCGAGAGCTGGATAATTGAGAGTTAACCTATATTATTTTTTGTAACAAATAAATATATTTAAAATAAATATAGCTCGAAGAACCGACAACCGATGGGGAAGAAAGGTTCTCGAGTGGCAGCCTCGTACCGGCAGGCGAAGTGTAGGGCGTCCCCCCACTAGATGGAGTGACGACCTGGTAAGATATGCAGGAAGTCGATGGATGCAGGTGGCTCAGGACCGTGCTTTGTGGCATTCTTTGGGGGAGGCCTATGTTCAGCAGTGGACTTGTGAAGGGCTGTAATGATGATGATGATGATGAAAATAAGTTTGTATACACTCATGGACAATAATAATAAAAATAATCAAATAGTGGAAAGCAAAATTACTCCTGTTGTTATTATCATGCGCACTGGCTACAAATATTAGTAGATGCTCAGCAGTCCTCTATATATTGTTTCAATGATTTTGCCATAGTTGCCGTGCTTGGCAGGTAGTTTGGCAACCGCAGTGTTTGATAATTTTGAGTTGCTATCAGGAAGATGTTGCTGCCCACCTTCTGTTTCAGTTTCCCTTCATACCTCCTACACCTTCCTAACTATTTAGACAATATTCTAGTACTTAGTTTGATAATTAATGGAACCAGGCGTTACTTTGCGGAAGTCCATTATATTATTTTATTGTAATTTTTTACCAACTAATATCTTTTACTTACTTTGAGCTTCTGATATTTCTAAGTCCAAAAGGAAATAAAAAGAATAAAATATTGAATAAAACTGTTTTTTACGGATTTTATCGCTTTTATTTTACTTTTTTTATTCCCGACGTATCGAGTGCTTTACAGCGACCCATGGACACGGGGTCTGAGATGTTTGACGTCCCGATGTCACAATTAGCCCGGCTACCTTCAGTTTTTTAATATTAATTTTTTGGTTCGATTTACGCAGAATGAACTTACAGTATCTTGAAGTATCTATCATCTATAAGTATCTTACAGTACCTTTTATTCAATGTGTAGTGTTCGCGTAAATATAAGAAATCATTAAGAATAAAATAATTTGTACATAACAGGTTCTAAAGTCAGGGCTTTAATTCTTCCATTCCATACACTATGTCTTACCAATTTACTTTTTACGTGATAGGGCCATGCTGCAGCTATATTAGTAGTATAGTTGTAGCACGAATGGGTCGGCTCGGCCGGGGAAGGACCACGCTCTCACAGAATACCAGCGTCAAATAGCAGCTTGATGCTGCTGTGTTTCGTATGGTGAGTGTAGAAAACCAGAGACCCTTTTTACTGGAAAAGAGGCATTCTATCTTAGTCCTCACGGGTGACAACGTATCTGCATTTTGATTCGCAAACGAGGATAAATGTAGAATTATGTCTATGGGCCACAGCAACCACTTACTATCAGGTGGACTGTGTGCTCGTTTGTCACTCTATCCTATTAAAAAAAACTTACTTTTGAAGAGGTGCTAAAGCAAAGTATATAGAAGTACTAAAAACCCGACTTCAGAAGTTGCTATGGGTTAATTATTTTATTATTTTGAAATCGTTTTAGAAAAAAGTAATTAATATTATGATAATTTAAATTTTAAGTTTTATTTTTCTTTATTACCGTTATAAATAGTGTATATTATGCTGTTATGTAAATAAATTATTGACAAGTAAAAAGTTTAATTTACGTAAAAGCAGTCAAAGTTTCCTCACCTTAGCACACCTCAGGCATTTGTACTTTGTATACTTAGTGTCGTTCCATGTGTCTATGCAAATGGCACATCAATTTATAAAACCTATTCGGCAGAAGTGACACTCGAAGTTGTATATTGGATGTAACTTTACATATTTTTTTTACTTTTATATAATTAAAAATATAATATAACATCAAAGAAGTTAGATTCGCCTTGTTCTAGGCCCTGCAACTCACCACCTGTCTCCGTATTTTATACGGTGACACTTGAGATAGTTATTTCATATGGTCATGTGTTTACGGGAAGATAAAAGGTATAAGGAAAATTGGTAAAAAATCTTTGTCATTTATATTTGCTAGGCGTTATAATATATTTGGCTTTACTGTATACTATATAAAACAATTTTTAGTTAATTTTATTTAAGACATCGCGTATCAAAGTACACTTAATGTTCGCGGATAAATGCTAAATATTAGTCTGGTCCAGTAAGCTTGCAATGTGACATTCTTGTAATATGCATTTTATAGTATTAAAAATAAGTTGAAATATTTCTGCCGGCTACCTTAAGGCCAGACTTATTGCAAGAAATCTTGCTACTAAACGTCAGCACATTCCAACACATATATGGAGACCAACTTAACCGTAACATAACGCAACATTCTACATCATATTATGATGTTTTAGAATGCATCCTACGTCATATTTATAAACATGACCTATTCATGTTTGAATACATTTTCATTGTCACCTTTGTCTGCTGTTTCTTTATTAGGTCCTCATGTTTAAGCAATGTTTAAGAAAGTCTTAACATATAAATAAATATGAACTACCATAGACATTTATATACAATTATGCGTTAATGCGTTAAATCCGTCTTTATAAATTTTTGTGTTCGAAGTTTAAATAAATAAAAGAAATACAATACGTTGACCGTGTAGTAGCAATGTAAGAAAAAACACTATACCATATCTTCTCGTGGGAAGTAAAAGACTACAGAGGAAAATTGAAACGGTGATAACAACTCAAATAATAAAAAACTGCGGTTGCCAACCCGCCTGCCAAGCCTGGCAACTATGGCAATATCTATGACAACTATGGCAACAACATATGTATGAGAAAATCTATGGAGGAGGCTTATCTTCAGCAGTAAACTTTTATAGGCTGTAATTGATGGGAGTACGTTGTTTATAATATTTTTCGAAAATTCCAAGAAAAGTAAGAAAAATTCGACTGTAATTATGTAATTCGATTTAGCGATAGTCTCTATCTAGATCCTTATCCTTTTAGTGTTATAGAAGTCGTATTTCTTATTAAAAGCCATAATGGAATTCCTTGTTATATTTTTATTGGTAAAAAATTTTCTTCGAGTAACATATTCCATACAAGAAAATATTTTTAGTAAATCAATATTCTATATGAAGTTAAGTCTGATACGTATGTGAGTACTCGTAGTAAGAAAACAGAAAACCTTGAAACATTTCGACACAGACGTCTTTTGTGCCATGCAAACAAACCGCATTGAAGTAACAAATAATTTTAATGTAAATTTGGTTTCACCTTTGTTCTTGTACTGCCTTCATGTTAAAATATTTATTCAACACGCATTAGTGCAAAACAAGGAGCTTCCACAGTTATAGAGGTCATAGACTCTTATGGAGACGAACTGGGAAGCGTTTACTGTATCCAAATGAAGTAGATTGAAAAAATAATACGTAATTATTGTAATCTACTTCAAATATATAAGTAGCTGTAACTTTCTTGTTATTAAAAAAATTGCACTAGTTATTGTTATCGTATCAGTGATTGACGATCGTAGAATAGAAAACTGCACAGCATAGAATATTTTGGGTACCTGATATATTAAAATTGATATTTTGCTAACTCTTGGAGTTTTTTAAATTTTCTATTATTTATTTTAACCTCCTTTTACACCCAACAGGAGTAAAGTTACTCTACGTTTCTTACAAATATTTATTTGGCATTAATAAAACATATATTTTTTTAATTTTATTAAGGTTTGAAGTATCTTTTTCCTCCTCCCTAACAGCCTGTAAAAAGTCCACTGCCTCTATCATGGCCTGTTCCCGTAGTATGTAGGATCTGCTGTGATGTGGTGCCTATCGGCCACAGCATCCACTTACCATCTGGTGGAATGTGTAATCATTTGGCACTCTTATTCTATAAAATAAATAAATAAATCTCCAAGCATAGCAGGCAGATTTTCTTCCCTCATGCAAATTAAAACCAAAGACCATTTTTATTGGAAATGAGGCATTCCATCTCAGTCCTCAGGGAGACAACCATCTGCGTTTAGATTCTTAATTTAGGATAAATGTAGATGTCTATGGGTCAATGGGTCATAGATCCACTTATTATCAGTGGACTGTGTGCTCGTTTGTCACCTTTATTCTATAAAAAAATGTCGCGCATCGTAAGTTGTCACAATCCTCAACATGATTGGTCCGTGTCCGCAGCCAATGGCTGAGCTGCAGAAGTGTCCGCACTGCGCGCGCGCGTTCGGCGTGCGTGCGTTCGAGCGGCACGTGGAGTGGTGCGCGGACAAGGCCAAGATCCTGCCCGCCGCCGCCGCGCAGCCGCCGCCGCACATCGCCGACGCCAAGCAGCGCCTCAACGCGCGCACGCAGTACAAGGCGCCGCTCGTGCGCGCCAGGAGGTGCTCGCCACGTTATACAATACATTTATTATTATTATTATTTATTGCTATAAAACAAGTAGTAAGTTATTAAAATATTGTTGGGTACCCTCTTTTATGTAAGATACCTGTAGTAGAGGCCACCGCTCTACGGTAGTAGTTATATTACTACTTTAAAATTACAATTAAATAAAAAAGAGAGGAAAATCAGTTTCTTCATAAGTAAATTTTCTTAACCAGTCTTTTACAGCTTTTTTAAAGTCATGCTTATTCATAGGGCAAATATTGATTTTTTTTTATTTGTTTTATTGTACAAGTAATTTGAACGTCTAGTATTACTGTCTGCACATAAAAAAATAGGATTATAAATGGCGTCTCATTTATTCACCTCTCGCTTGCACACTGCCCAATGCCCATTCCTATACTCACACCCGTCGGTAACGACCACAAAAAAATAACATGATCTATGTGTTGCAATAAGCGTTTTTGTGCTTCTAATTTCAGGCCTAAATAACAAACAGTAATATTCAACACACTTTTATTTTAAGTATTAATAAGCATTATCAATATTGTTATTCGTTATATAACGATGTAGCGTTGTAAGCACCGCTTTCCCTATACGTACCGTGTATGCTGACTACAGGCTCGACAAGACGACGTTTATAATCCCATTCTTTATCCCCACGACAAAGTAGTAGTCGCTTATAAACTATGAAACTGTTTTAAACGTATACGTAGCGGCACGAACCGTGAGCACAACTTTGACACGCGCAATAGTTTCTGTGGTGAAGTAATAGGGTGTTGAGACAGTACCACCTAAAGTCCCAGTGACCACTGGTGCTGCACTTGAAACGCCGAGAATTTAGAAAGAAAATTAAAAACTATTTCTTCTTATATGTAAAGGCACATCGGTGATTGAACAACCGAAGTGCCTCGACGGGTTTTTGCGTCAACCAACTTGCCTAATTATTACAATAAGCTATTGTTATAATATGAAATGCTAAGATGTGCGATGGCGCTGCCAAAGGGATGATTTTTTCCCTAACCTGTCATAGTTTCCTTATTATTTTCGCTCTTCCGATCCATCCAATCTAATTGTTGTACGTTATAAATGAAACATTACGAGTATTGTCCGTCGTATTTTATTCAAAAAGCGTACCTTATTTCTAACAAATCGCAACTATGATTTGGAGTGGTGGCGATTCATACCACTTACTTAGTTTGAAAAAAATATAATACACTTTTATAACAGGTCGTCTCAATCTCGAGAGAAGACATCCAACAGTCGGTCCACGTCAGTGGACTCGTCGCGCGGCGTTTCGCCGCCGCCGCGGGAGTTCGGCGACTACAAGCAGGGACGGACTCGGGCATCAGGTAAGGCTTTGATTCATTTTATTTTCATTTTTACATTCATTACAATCGATTAAAAGTGCACTATTGAATAGGTCTTAATAGTTTGCCTCATAAGGCGGACATTTGCCATAGATACCACTGAGTCTTGTAGATACCACCATTTTTCTTGGAATCACACTAGACGCGAAGCTTCAATGGAGCCCCCATATATCAAAACCAGTAAGCAGACTTAGTTCTGCAGCATATGCTGTAAAAAAGATTAGAAGTCTTACCAGTGTTGAAACAGCTAGACTAGTTTACTTTAGCTATTTCCATAGCATAATGTCGTATGGTATTTTACTATGGGGACACGCAGCTGACACTGAAATTATATTTGTTTTACAGAAGAGGGCCATAGGAGCAATTTATGATTTAAAGCCTAAAGAGTCGCTGCGACAAAAATTTAAGGAAATTAATATATTAACTTTGGCCTCTCAATACATTTATGAAAATGTAATGGACGTACACAAAAATAAAAGTAGTTTTACAAAAATAAGTGATATTCATTCTGTAAATACTAGGAACAGACACAAGCTAGTAGTACCAGTTACTCGACTCCATCGAGTCAGTAATTCATTCTTGGGGCGATGTATACGCTTTTACAACAAAATTCCAGAAAATATACAAAATTTGACCTGCTCAAAGTTCAAAAACTTTATTAAACTAAGTTTGTAATAATAATAAAATAGGTAATATTAATGAATTTATAGATGATAATAACCCCTGGAAATGAGGTGATCGCTACCAAGCTATTTCTAATTTGTTGTGTTGTTAATTTGTGTAACATACATGATTGTAAGCTGTTATTTAAAAAAAAAGTCCCACTGGGTTTCTTGCTGGTTCTTCCCAGGACAGAGGTTTTTTTTTCGAACCAGTGGTAATTAAACAAAATTGTGACTTTCAATAAGTATTATTTATAATCTATATTGAATAAAAAAGTTTCTGTTTCTGTTGGCAATTGCAGTTTTTTTTAAATATTCTGAGTTATCAGGAAACTATCGCTGGTCGCTGCCCATCTCCTGTTTTGTTTTCGTTTATCGCCCACGGGATGATCCACTACCGATTCGTAAATAATTACATTAAATGGTGTTTAAATTTACTAATTGATTATCTATTATTACTACTTAATTACAATGAGCCGTAGGAGCTCAAGGAAAAAGCTCTCTTTTTTTTATACAGTATAATTGATCCTGGTTTTTGCATTCATTTTCCGCTTCTATTTGTATTAAGAGGAAATGCGGGCCGAGAGACTTTTGAAAATTAGGTATTTGAAGTATCTATCGCTGTCGCTCTGCGAGCGCTCGGCGTCCGATAAGGACAATTGCAGATCCGACTATATGCCTTATTAAAAAAGCATAATTCGAGGTTTAACTCTCTACCATTTCCTTCTCCAATATTGAACCAATTTAAAAGATATTTCATAAGAAGGATATACACTGTGTCCCTGTTTTTCTTTTTTCAAATTTCAGAAGCGTTCTAGTGCTTATAAAGATAATGTATCATGAAAAATAAAAACATTATATTAATAGTTGATATTTATTTTACTGCAAAAAAACTCATTGTTATAAGGTCATAAACCAAAAAGAAAACAGGCGAGAGCGTTTGTATGGAGAAAAAAACACGTGCATTTCCTCTTACACCGTGAATACTTACTGTAGGAATTTTAAAATTTTGCTGGGTAAGGATTATAAACTTCTTTAACTGAATTACAGAATCTATGTCGAGTAATGACTGCCACGAAGATGCTTCAACGCATGTCCCAGTCATAAGAAATTCGAGAACATCTCAAAACAATTCAGGCGACGCCAACGTAAAAGCACGACAAGCTAGACTTGCTAGAGATCTCAGTAGTACTAGGTGCGTTACTTACGTGTGTGCTTAGTTATTATTTTATATTAGTACCTAGTATTTAGAAGTAGTTATAGCAAATAAGGGGAAAGGAAGGTATTTTATTTTTATTTTGTTTTAATAATAATTTTTCGTGAACTTAATGAATGGCGCCGAAATCGTTCCTGTCTCCTTGTTTGTTGATATAATTCAATTTATACTGAAACCCTTCCTTTCCTTTTTCATAGAAACACCCAAGATCCAAAGATTTCCTCGATCCAACAAAGTAATACCGATCCTAATTTACCCAAAGTTCTTCAAAGTAAACATAAAAACAAAGTGAACGTTAAGAGAAAACAACAATTAAAAAAACTTGAAGAAATTGCAAATAAATATAACAATAGGCAGGAAGAGATCACAAAAGAAAAAAATAAATTGCGTAAAAATACTAATGAAGATGATGAAGGTAAAAGTCATATTCCAATTCTAAAGAAGACAGTTGTGAATCACAAAAACAAAACGAAAATGGAGACTATGAAAGGCAAAGCAGAAATGACCAAGGAAGAACGAAAATTATCTTCTTCAGTAAATAGAGCTAAAACAGAAGGAGCTCCAGTTACAATAAAACAACAAAATGAAAATTCTGCTAAGTCCAGGAAATTAAAATCGGTGACAAAAAACTCTACGACGAAAGAAATCACCCTGAGTCTTGATAGCCTGGAAGATGTTCAACATGATAAGACTAACGACAAAAATTTTCAGTCAATTGGTATTAATACGGAACTTCTTTGTCCTTGCGTCCCGTGCGTAATTTATAACTGTCCGGAACAGAAGAAAACAGAAAAGCTAAAAACAAAATCTAATGTAAACGAAAGTAAAAGTACCAAGATAAATAAACACTATTCTGCACCTTCGATAGAACTTTTGTATAAAAATCCCAACGTAATCAGTTCATGTGATTTGCAAATCAAAGATATTACAGAAACACAATTAAAGTGTATTGATATTAATACCGATATTCATTACGATTCCTCCTCAATTAATTCAGGTTCGAGTAATAGTTTTCCAAATAAAACCCATTATGATTGTGAAGAAACAAACGCTAAAGAAGAAAACACTAAAATTATTGAAGTGAATAATAAACAACCATCCAAAGAATTATGTGAAGAAAAGTATGAAGATTTAAATAATCTTTCAGCGGAGGAATATGAAGAAAGTTACGAACCCGACATCAGTGCCGAAATGTCTAATGATTCTATTGAAAATGATGACCAGGCCCAAAGTAAAGACATAAGTCGACACGGTAGTGGAGATACTTACACAAAATTTTCCGAATGTCCTGCCGACTTAGAAGAGTTTTATAATTTGACTGATAAAATTATATCCACTAAAACAACTAAAGAAGAAAAGCTCGATAAAGATCTTGATATGCTTCATACACCTAATACTAATTCTATTGAAGCTTTAAACAAAAACGATTCATGTCCTAAACTTTCAAATCTTAGTAAACATCAGTTTTCCGATACGCTAGAAGAATTAAAAAGTAACTTAAAAGAAATACTAAAAGAAACTAATAGTGCTAATGCTGATTATGATTTAGCATCTAACAACATTAAGAATGTACGTAATATGGAACATATAAGTGTTTTTGAAGTAAACCTTTATGAAAAAGGACCTAATGAAAACACAGAACAACTGAACAAAGCTCAAACTGAATTTAAATTGCCATCAATTACGGAAACAAATAATATGATGAAAAGAGACGAACGTTTAAGCAATACATTGACAAGACCAAAAATGAGTAGAAAATATAAAGGTTTTAATAAACAAAGTCGTAACAATATTGAGTACAAAACTTTTATCGTTCGAGATAATCAAGATGACAACAGTGACGTCCACTCTGTTTCTTCAGAGGCACCACCATTGAAACTGCCGAGAATTGAAGTAAAAAGGTTGTTTCCTTTACCTGTTTCTTCTTATTCCCGTATTGTTCCATTAATATTATTCTTTTGCACCTTCTACTTCTTATGTGTGTGTGTATTTATTAACAATGTTTTAAAATATTTTAAGTATTTAATAAGACCTTTCAGGAATACAAAATATGTGTTATAAATTAATTTATAATTTATTTCACAGGCTTGATGACAATTACGATCCTTTCGCGTCCGCCGCTAGGCAAATGAAAGAGCTTATGTCCTCTGAGACCAATATTCCTAAAAAAATTCATACTATCCCCAAAGACTCAAATAGAACCCTTCCATCCTTACGCCCAACTAAGGAAAAGCCATCACCATCGCATCTTACAAACAATACAAAAATGATGAAAGACACACTAAATAAGACCTATCAGAAAACACCAACTTTACAAAGAATGAAATCTTTTGGTAGCACTAATAGTGAAAATAACAAATCGTTTGGTGGTAGGTGTAGTTCGTTTAGAATAAACAGAAATGATAAAAAATCTAGTCAGAAGTTGAACACAACATTCACTAAATCTAGTAAGGAAAACATAAGTTCTACAGAAAAACCCAATTTCACCCGTAATAGCAATTTGAATAGATCTTTTTCAAATTTTTCATCCAATTACAGTACGCCTAAATTAAAAGATAAAATTCCCAAAATAGCTCCATCCATGTATCATAGTTTTCAACGCACGACAATAAAACAACCTTTAAAACTTGATAAGATAAAAAATGACGAGGATAGGAAAGATTTTGTCAACCTAGATTCTATTCTTTCCTACGATAACGCCTCCATGACTGACAGTAATTACATAGACCCTAGATTAATTAATGAAAATGACAACTTACCTATTAACGTTAATACTATACTGAATAACCCTGATATATTAAGTAGCATGGAGTCGTTGCTCACTACCGAAAATCTGCCGGCAATATTTGAATCATTTAACGTTAATAATAAAAATATTAAAAATTCCTTAGCACGAACTAATACAGTAACTAAGTACAACAACACGAATAACAATAATGTCACATCTATGAATGAATTAAATTCTCAATATGACAAATTCATGTCGTCTTTAGAGCAAAGTATAACGTCGAAAACATCTAGAGATGACGAATCTCTTTGTGAAGATTTCGATCTCGAAGAATTCATGACTTCTTTCGACGAAGAAGTGCCTAAACAAAACATCGAGAATAAACGCACATACAGCTCAACTACTAGAATAGTTACGCAATCCGAAATATTCGACACGCACAAAAGTTCCGACGTTAATGGTAACAGTGACCCTCCGAAAGCTTTAAATAATAATAGTGGTATGATACCAGTTAATAAATCAATGTCTCTTGTTTTTAGCAGTAACAATGTTAAGGGCGAAAACCTTTTCCCGTCTTCCGTTAAACGTTCCACATCCCTCCTTGATTCCATTCAGAAGAAAAATACGCTAAAAGCGGATACAAAGAAGAACCGCCTCAAAGCAGACCAACTTGAACAGGACATTATGCAGTCTCTCAAAGACTTCGATAAATTTTATGAATCTGAACAAATAGAGAATGACCAGTCTAACAAAGAAATTGTTAATTGTGCTAAAAATAAATATAACACGACTAAAAAAGAATCCAGAATGAAAACCGAAAGAAACAACAACAAAAACGAACACATCTCAAATGGCCAATTTACACCTAATGGAAAGTCGAGCAACGATTCAGCTTATAGCAGGTTAGTCAGGTAACTATTTTGTATAAAAACATAATTATGGATTTTGAGGATTTAAGGCATAAGAGTTGGGTACTCAGCCCTTAAATCCGTAAACTTGCTTATATAAAATCTGGCTAAGAGTATGCAATCGTAAAAGAATGTATAATATAGACCATATAGTTCATACCAGTTAGCATTTTGAAAAGTCCCGTAACCTTATATCTGGCTGTAGAATAAGAATGACTTAAAACAATATCGGTGACAATTTCCAAGTACTGTCGGAAGTTATAAACTGCGCAATAGATATTATAGTGCCATATGTGTATGCAAGAACGTCACTCAAATTTTGCTAAGTTATTGGAATAATATTTATTTTACTTTATTACTTTATTTTAGAATATTATTTTTTTTACTATTTTATTAGAATAATATCAACACGGCCCTGCTAGTTTATTTTAAACTTTTTAAATCTGTCATCAAATAAGTTTATAAAGTAAATATTACAGACGATTAAAAATATAAACGTAATTTCTTTCAGCCTAAACAGGATATCACCTTCAAAACTATCACTATGTAACTCCAAAGAGTCAAACGGCCCAGTACCCTTAGCACAAACACACGTCGGCACTGACTCTGTAAGGAGTCACAAAGACGAAGTCAGGTCTATCTCCAGTGAAGAGTTCCTAGCGATGGAACGCTCAGCTGAACTGAACGAGCCATTGCCCAGAGTTGACGCACAACACAAAGATTTAGGCAGCAGTCACACAATAAACGGTAATTCGTTTCTTCATATTTTTTTCTATAATATTTTAGATTTCAAACATTGTACCACAACATGATGTGACATGTATTTTTATCTCTATTCATAAACGATATTTTTTTTATTTTAGTAGCAGTGAATTCTCTTCTTCTGTTTTTTGTAAAAATAAAATTAAAATATTCTAATACACGTATATTACGATATTATTATATTTATTATTAGATTAGATAAAAGCACAAACATTATAGAAAAACCACAATTTAAAGTTCGTACGAAAATATTGAACTAGAAGGATAACCTTTTCTGCCTAGAAGTCAGTATAAGTTGCCTTCCTTGTCATCCTCAACATCATCACCCGAAATCAGAAGCCATAAAGTTTTCTTTGGCATTTTCTTTATTCGCCTCTTTATGTCGTTGCTAATTGAAGGATGTTTGCCATATTTGCTATGCTTAGCAGGTGAGTTGACAACTGCAATTTCGATGAGATGTAGGTGACTCAGTACCGTTCTTATGAAATTCCTTCTGGGGACGGATCTTCAGACGTGAAGCAGACCTGCCGCCAAGGATAAATGCAAAGAAATGCCACATCTCATTCCAATCTACTGACTTGTAACGCCACACTCGCCACACACCGTGGAAATCGCACTTAGGTGGGGAATATAATAACACAGATTTCACAAGACAGTGGTCAGAAGTTCCCAAGAGTAAGGTAACCTGAACATCGTGCCTGCCTGGATCGGTCGTCAGCAGAAGGTCGATGCAGTTGGCTGTGTTCCCACCCACATCAGGTACCCTAGTCGCTTGTTGTACCAGCTGGGAGAGCCCCTGCGGCAAGGCAAAATTTCACGTCTCCCAGCGTGGTCGGTCTTCTGGTATGGGAACAGCCAGTCCTGATGACAGGCATTAAAGTCCCCCAGAAAAAATACCAACTGTGTATTAGGGTACCGATTTGGAGCCACATTAGAGGCTTCACTTAAGGTGTTCAAATAACCTAGTTGTCTCCTGGTCACCGCTGTGCGATCGGTAGACACAAGAATAAATAATTTTATCCATTCCTGTGTCTATCAATACCCAGATCGTAGAGAATGTGGGGTCTTCAAGGTAAGGGAGACGCTTACACCAGATGTCGTTGCGGCCGTAAACACAGACTCCGGCGCGCGAATGGAAATTATGCTCCAATGTGTATCCAGGATAGCCAAGGTATGTCTCATCTAGAGGACATCTGATCTGCGTCTCAGACAAGAAGAGTAAGTGCGACTTGTCAGTCTCAAGGTGGTAGTGGACTGCATTGAGATTACAGTGCAGGCTTCGGATGTTTGTGAGGTGCACTTTGATGGAGAGGGAGTGCAACCGCTGTACAAACTTACTCTTCTTTCCCTTTTTTTCATAAATGGTGAAGATCGCGGGGACGTCCGAACCCCCTGTAAATCGCCTCCAGGCCCTCTTCTCCGGTCGCCAACCGGCATGGTAGAGCCATCCCAGGATTTTTCGTAAGATGGCGGGGCAACCTTTCATGAGTGGCTGGCTCATTAATTGGGCCCCCCAACTATCTACGGTCGGCCAGCGGTAGAATCGTGCTTCGGACACTAAGAAACGGCCAAGTCGCAACTGGTTCTTATGCGCAACGCTACTGCCCAGACCCATTCTCCCTAAGAAATGGGTTTCACCTAATATCATTACGGAACACCGCTTGCATCATTTGGCGGTATGTGTTTGTCAGGTGGGTAGTAACTAACCCTCGGCCGGGCCTCTCACTGGTAGAGGACCAACCTACCACCAGTATGTAGTGCTGCACATTTAACACTACCCATGGGATACGTGTAGGGAATCAGGATTTAAGTAACTCCTACGGACGCGAGCAGCTCCAACCCCCATAAACAACCATCCTCGGTTATGCGTATTTTATACACGCACACCAACTTGGTTATATTTAGGTGTATTCGATTGATTCATAGCAGAACTAAAACTATTTTATTTTATACGTGGTAGAGCCATGCTGCAGCTATATTAGTAATATAGTTGTAGCACGAATGGGTAAGCTCGACCGGGGAAGGACCACGCTCTCACAGAATACCAGCGTAAAATAGCAGCTTAACGCTGCTGTGTTTCGTATGGTAAGTGTAGAGAACCTGTTATTTGAATCACAAACTACAATAGTTTTTTTTACTTTACAAGACTAGATCTATTGTGGTACAACATATTACAGGTACAAAATGTCTGACAATGCACTATTGCTACACTATTTTTATATTATGTAAAATGTGGTAATTGTCGCAATTATCTCAAAAATATGGAAACCTGATAGTAATTATTTACCGGGTGTAAACCTAGAAGACACGAATTTGTGGAAATCTCACATGCCTTATGAAAAAATCTATTAATTTTTTATCCAAGTAAGGGTGAGAAATTAGCACTCAGTTTAGCTGATGGTAAGTGGATGCTGTGTAAAGGATAACATTGCAGGTGGGTTGTCACCCTTCAAGACTACTATGAAAGGCCTTATTACCAGTAAAAAGGGTCCTTGGTTGCTTTGCACTTACAATTCGTGTGGAATTATAGCAGCATTATGCTGTTATTTCGCACTGGTATTCTGCAAGTTACATTCGTGCTGCGGCGTAGCACAATATATGACTCTTATGCCAGGCTCAAGTGACACAGACTGGCAATGAGAAGCAGCATCACTAGTGCGAGGGTCGGCAATTGCGATCAGTTTTGTTTTCGACAACCTGCCTACCTAGCTGGTTGAGTATCATCGGCACATCCTTTATGCATGACGCCGTTGGGCGTAATCTTGAAAAGAGTTTAATCCAGCAGCGGATAATGATCACAAGTTATCATCATATTTACTATGCATTTACGTATTTATTTGTTCAGAAAAGCGTGCCAGTTCCCGAGCATCGTCACAGCGCAGCCCCACGTGGCGATCACGCCAAGACCTCAGCTCCAGCAGTTCGGAGAGTTCCCTGCACAGGGCGAAGGAAACCAGCCCGCTGCCGCGACTCTCGCGCTTCTGCCACGAGTGCGGCAACAAGTTCCCCGTCGACACTGCCAAGTTTTGTATCGAGTGCGGTGTCAAGAGATTGGTCGTGTAGGACAAGTGTGATGTGGATGATAGCGTTTTCTAGTCTGTAGCGTTGGTGTGAACGTGACCTGTGCTGAGAGCACAATACAAAAGTACCGCACGACGCATCAGCCGTGCGGTCGTGGCTGTCTTATGGTGTTCCCATTATTAAACATGAAACGCTTGCTGTTTGTTCAAAGAGTGTCACTTGTGTCGTATGTGAGTTTTACACATAACATTATTTAAATATATAATATTTATTTCAGTTGAATTCAAGCAGCTGCTTTAATAAGATAGAATCTGTCTTTATAATATGGAATCTGAATAAGAATCGTCATTAGTTTTTTTTTAATCATACAAATCTGTTGTTTTAAACTGAAGTTTGGTTAGATCAATATTTTTATCATTGACTTATTTTGTGGACCAGTGATTCGTTTTACGATTAAACTCCAAAATTTTATACAAAATAAATAGGTTTTAAGAGTCATGAATTGCGTAATATGATTGACTGCTTCGAAAAAAGATATGATGTTAAATATTGTGTAGCATAGACTACTACTACTATTTTACAGTGGATTTATCTAAATTTTACGGTAATATATGGTATACCATATATAGTTTAGTGCCTTTTTAGGTGTTAATTCATAAACTAACTTAAGTATGCTCTTGTAATTTCATTTTCGTCTACAGCGTTTTGAAAATTATATAACTGTGATATTTGGTCTTTTGGTCAATTACGTAATAGAAAATGAGAAATTAGTATGTCATCTTAAACTAATAATCTTAAATAATTTGAGTGCCAATCATTTTGGCTTCTAATTGAACTTTTATGTAATTTATATTTATATTTTTTATTTAGCACTTGTTAACATGAATATTGTTTTTATTTTATAATTTTAATACCTCATAATAAATTCCGAATAAGTCTTTTGTCTGCATTATAGTTAGCCATTTTAACAAGACTGATTTAATTTTGGAATATAAATGAACCTAACCTTTACTATACCTATGTTTTAATAAAAATAACTGTATAATGTAATAAATTAACAATACTTTGTTTTAAATAAAAATCTCCAAATATTTTTAAATTAAATCATTTTTATTTACCTTAATAACAACATGACTAAAAAATTTTACAAATATAAAAAAAATATTAGTATTTAAATTGGTATAAAAATTAGTTTGGTTCTCGTTATATTTAAAATGAACTATACAAAATAGTGGGTTTGGATGGACGATATAAAGGACAAAGGGTCTCCGAAACCGTCAATTGCGATTGTCAATGTTTACGAGAGATAGGTTCAAATGAGTTAAGCTTACAATTGAACGATTAATATATTTATTATTCTTTATTGCATTGTCTGTTACAAAAGAATAGAATGGACGGACTTAATGCCTAATGGTATAAAGTCCGCCCTTTCTCCAGTCAACCTTCGGGCTGGTGAGAATGGTTAAAGATAGTAGACGGAGAGACAGAGCCAAGTCTCTGAATTTATTAAGCCTGGTTTTTTCTCAGGTGATTATAATCATAATTTACAATAAAATGCTACGGACAGTCAAGCGGATATTAGAACAGGTGTCTCAGGTGCGCGGTCAAATATGTCGTGACCACCGACATAATAAAATCAATTTCTTAAGGCTGATCTTTATGAACTATTGTTTTTTTTTATATGTAAATCAAAATTATGATAGTCAACGTCCTATGGGGACACAGCAGATCAGTCGGCTGTAATGTACGTAGTGAGGTTTATAAGGGTGCAATTCGTTTATTACGCGTAAATTTTTTTAGTAACTACTAGTCTACTACTGTCTATATTATTAATAAATAAAATGGTCAGTCAATAATTCCGTAGAACAACGCCGGTCAGTCAGTGAATAAGAAATGAAACTTTTTTGCTATCTCAATATGATTACAACCGCCGATACATTTCTTACAAAAAATATTGAACAGCATTTGCTTCAATCAATTTTTTGTCATTCACCGTCAATGCCGCAAAGTAAAAACGTTCATTATTCTCATCAATGAGTGTCATTAACCGGTTCAGTGCGGGTGACACGCCAGGCGTGCCATCGATTACTTTTGTGTGTGGCGTATGATACGCGAGTCGTGTCTTTTTAAAAATCGTTATAACTCGCTCAAATTGCTTTTTTGGAAAATTTATCCATAACAAAATATTCATTATTTTGCAAGTAGTTCATGCATGCAGTTTCGTTTCTGGATATTTTGAAAATTTGAATTTTTAGGGGTTGACAACCTTTTTTTAACGTGTACATGGTACTATTTTTACTTTGTGGGTTTTAAATCATGTTATGGAAAAATTGTCTAATAAGTAACAAATAATAGCACTCATTGCGATCGGTCACAAACTCAAGTTGTAAATAAATTTCTGGAAAACAAATCTCCTATTAAAAAAAAACAATGCGTTTGTCTTATTGTTTAATTTTGCTTAAAATGGTTGAACTGCCGTCTTATTACTATCATATGGCCGAAATAGACCTACGAAGTACCATGTGATCTTGTGATATGGTATAAGGTTTATTTTTGCTTGAAACAGTTCGAAACCGTTCATGCATAAAAAAAGTTCGCTAATAAATAGTTTTTTGTCAATCCGCCGCCGTATAGCGCCGGCGTTTTTTTCCTTTTGATAACACTTGTTTTGCTATTCTTACTAATTAGACGTTTTCAGATCGACTTTACTTTTACATTTGTATAACATTAAATAATATTTAACATTTGTAAATATCAATGAATGATATACCTTTTTTTTTTCAAATTAAGGTCCTTCGTTGTTTGATGTTTACAAATGTTATTATTAGGTGAAAATTTAATTTAATAAAAACCAAGGTTTCCCGGGTGATTTAGCTGTACCTACTTATATAAATGATTTTTTTATAACAACAAAAAATAGTACAAAAGGTTTGTAATCCCTTCATAAAAAAGTCACTTTCTCTCAATTTCAAAGAAAACGCGTAAAAAAACACGTAGTTACCCACTAAAAACAAGTATCCTTCCATTTGTAACTTATGTTTGATGTCAAATAAATTTAATTAGGTCTAAACAAGTAAAAAAAGCATAAAAAAGAACATTACTTTTACACATGGCGGATGGCACAATAGGCGCGTCATTTTTGTCTGTGGCGCCTGACACGCCGGGCGTGTCGTGAAATATTTGTTCGCCGCCACAGCTAAAAGTTGTCGAAAATTGGTGCCGCAACGAATTGGTTAGTGTAGATATTAACAATTGCAATTGACCATTTCGGATACATTTAAGCATAAGATGTGGAAAAACTCAAGATTCTGGTGATCGATTCTGAGGAAAACAAATTAATTTTTTAGGACACGCTCGCGCCAAAATATTTATTACTCTCAAATCTGTTGACGAAAACAAAAAAAAATTAAAAAAGACAACTTAAAAATTCGGAAAATGAAAGTTGGAAAAGCAGCTTCAAAGGTTTTCGAAGTAACAAAAAGGGTTCAAGCAATTTTTAGCACCACTACACAACACAATACAAGTTATCGTTTAACTTATCGATTTTACTAAATAATATGTATCATAAAAAACCATAAAAAACACAAGCAAAACTCTAAGCATCAATAGCCAATTTCTCAAACTCTTTTACTTTCCGACGTTGAGTTTAATCAAAACTGTCAATTCCCACTAGTCGGTCCACCTTAGCCCATTCACTGCCTTCCTCAGAAATGACAACATTACCCCCATGCCGCCTTATACTAGTATTCAGCCCGCCCATCGGCGGACCCGGCATCTCGATAAAGTATCTTGGCACGCCCTTCGGTGGTTTCGGCATGAGTCCTTAGATTTCGACGTGAGATATTTTTAATGTCTAATTTACATGTCCTGTTCATTGCGTAGAGCGTGTTTGCGTATGTTTTTGTGTTATTTGTGGAAAAATTTCATTTGTTATTGTTGTTGTTAACCGAATTATTAATGGAGTGTGAAGGTAAGGCAAAACTTTCAACTAGTTCAATTAAGACGAAGCAAGTGTATCTTAATCAGCGTATAAGATAGATTTAAGCACGAGTTTAGTACAAGGAAGTCTAAAAATGAAATATAAAAGCATACGTTTTAGGGCTTTTTTTAAAGTCGTGCGTAGTCAACCTTTTTTTGTATGTTTAATTTTTTTCCCACGTCTTACCTCTTTTGCATTCATTCCTACCTGTGAACGAATATTTCGTTCACAGGTAGGAATTAATGCAAAAGAGGTAATTAGGAATTAATTAAATTAATCATGCGGGGAGATCTGTTTATGACTTTGCCTTGGCATATGGTCTGACACAACTGGTTACTTCGCCTACGCGGATTCCAGATGTGGAGGATCATACACCTTCCCTGTTGGACCTTCTGCTGACCTCTCATCCGGACGGATATCAGGTTTCCGTCGATGCCCCTCTCGGCTCTTCGGACCATTGTCTGATCCGGAGTGTGGTGCCACTCACGCTCGCCTCGCGGTTGCGTTTTGCAGGTTGCCGCCGTGTTTGGCATTACAGGTCAGCGGATTGGGACGGAATGCGGTCTTTCTTTGCTTCCTACCCATGGGGGCGGGTTTGCTTCTCGCCGGATGATCCCAGCGCTGTTGCTGACTCTGTCACTGATGTGGTGCTACAGGGAATGGAACTATTTATTCCATCATCTGTGGTACCCATCGGAGGCAGATCTCAGCCTTGGTTTGGTCGCTCCTGTAAGACTGCATTACGCAGTAAGCAGGAGTGTTATCAAGCCTGGGCTGCGGCTTCGGTGACTCGGGATGTAAACACCAGCACACTTAAAAAAAAGTATAACTTCGCCTCCAGGTCCTTCAAAAGAGTTATTGACAAGGCAAAGTCAGAGCACATAGGCAGAATTGGCGAGAAACTAGTTCGCCTTCCTTCGGGAACCCGTGCATTCTGGTCTCTCGCCAAGGCTGTCCAAGGGAATTTCTGTAAGCCATCACTACCATCTCTGCACAGGGAGGACGACTCACTGGCCCAAGACGCAAAAGACAAAGCCGACCTTTTAGGCTCCCTCTTTGCATC